GTGTAGAGGGCTTCTACATCCATAGTGGCCAGGATGGTGTTTTCAGGAAGATCACCGATGGATTGTAGTTTCCTCAGGAAGTCAGTGGTGTCTCGAAGATAGCTGGGAGTGCTGGTAGCGTAGGGCCTGAGGAGGGAGGAGTCTACATAGCCAGACGATACTGCTGTCAGGGTGCCGATGCCTGAGATGATTGGGCGTCCAGCATTTCCAGGTTTATGGATCTTGGGTATCAGATAGAATACCCCAGGTCGGGGTTCCAGGCGTGTGTCTGTGCAGATTTCTTCTTGTGCTTTTTCAGGGAGTTTCTTGAGCAAATGCTGTAGTTTCTTTTGGTAACCCTCAGTTTCTGTTTAACTAGCCTAATGTTTGTGTAGTTTCCTTTTTTGAAGTTAAATGCTAGTGTGGTGGGTTTTTTTGGTATTTTCTTCCCTACAAGGATGTTAAATTTAATTACATTATGGTCGCTATTACTGAGGGGCTCAGCTCTAGTCACCTCTTGGACCAGATCCTGTGTGCCACGTAGGACTAAATCGAGAATTGCCTCTCCCCTTCCAGGTTCCAGGACTAGCTCGCTGCTCTAAGAAGCAGTGATTTATGGTGTCTAGAAATTTTATCTCTGCATCCCGTCATGAGGTGACATGTACCCAGTCAATATGGGGATAGCTGAAATCCCCCATTATTATTATTGGGTTTTCATGTGTGTGTTTTTGTAGCCTCTCTAATTTTTTTGAGCATTTCACAATCACCATCCTGGTCAGGTGGTCAGGAGTATATTCCTACTGCTTTATTCTTATTATTCAAGCATGGAATTTCTATCCATAGAGATTCTATGGTACAGTTTAACTTAAGATTTTTATTATATTTGACTCTCCGCTTTCTCTCACATATAGTGCCACTCCCCTACCAGCACAACCTACTCTCATTCCTATGTATTTTGTACCCTCTTATTACCGTGGCCCATTGACTATCATTGTGTGGCTAGTGAATTGGCACATGAAGGTAAGCCTCCCTCAGGTTGACTGATGAAAGCTAATCTCTCTGGCAAGTCACCGCCAGTATCGAATTCAAGGTCTCCATCTTGAACCTGGTCCTCCTTATGAACTTGTTCAGGTGTTAAGTCCAACACCACTCTAGCCTCCCCGAATCTCTTGGGTACCAGAAATAAGATTGAGTAATGGCTGGAAAACATCTCCTCTGCCTCAGGAACTCTCTCTCTCTGTTATACCTATTTGCAAATGATTGTCTGTGGCCTTCTGCATATTCTGCATCTTTTGAGGATAGTGGAGAAGGGAGAAAACGATGATTCGGACTCTGTGAAAAGTTTGCCATTCCTTTGTCGAGCCACATCCAGGACTGATCTATCCACCATTGAGAGAGGCCACTGGTCCTTGCATTTTAATATCCTCCCCTTCCCCCCCGTTCCCTGGGAGGTGCTTGATGGACCTCTCCTGACTGCAGTCAGGGGTTACTTCTAGTGTTGGAATTTGCATTGAGGAAAGAAGATCTCTTCCCTTTCTGGCTTAGACTTGTTTCATCAGCTTTTGTTGTAGCCTCGCTTTTTGTGCTTCGAGAAGTAGCCGTGAAAAGGATACTTTGGCCTGTAGTAAGGCTGGCTATTCCTTTTCTCACTCAGGCTTCTATAAGGGCTGACTCACACCTGGTTAAAGCTGGCAGATAAATTTAGTCAGAAATAAGTGGTGGGCCAGGGGGCCCCTTGCCGCCTGCTTGTTCCTCCACCTCTGGGTTGCTCTTCCTTTGAGCCCTCTGAGGCTGACTCCATGAAACTTGGTTGACCCTCAGTGAGCAGGGTCCTGTTAGCCTGGCAGCTGTGGAATGGCTGACGGCAGCTGTGGAATGGCTGACTGCAGCTTAAGTGGGGTCTGGTTAGCCTAGGCCTTTCCCCCGCCCCGCCCCCCTTTCCTGCCAACCTTTCTATTCCTCTGATTGCTCATGAAGTGTTCTGCCAGAGAGGCCTGCCCAGACATGCTATGCTCCAAGCTGCTGCTGCCAGGGACCTCCCTATCCGAAGGGGTTTCGAGCAACCCAGCTAAACAGCCCCATACTGCTTTGAATCCTGCTTGGTTGTTTTGTTTCCTTGCTGCCTTCTGCCCGTCAGAGTTGGCAGCAACAAGGGCCGGGTTCAATATCTAGGGGATCCATTCCAATAACACAATGCAAACCGGCTCGAGCCCCCACCCAGTGACCTGGGACAAATATATACCACCCCCGCTGGGCGCCTCTAAGAGGCAATACTTCCCCTCTCGCAAGCACATAGTCTGAGTGTAGCGAAAAGCCTTTTAATAACAGAGAGAAACAATGTGGCATTATGTTGGGGAAACACCACCAACAGGATTCATAACACAACCCATGAGCAAAAATAACCCACCCCAGGCAAATTGGGGCGTGCCCCTTTCCCTTTGGTTCTTGAGTCCAGCAACCCCAAATCACCCAAAGTCCCAAAAGTCCAGTGACCCAAAAGTCTCTGTCCCTGGTCAGGGCAGCCCCAGAGTTCGAAACTTTATCTGCGGAGCTTTACCTCCCAACCTGGGTGGAGATGGGACGGGGGTAAGAGGCACCTTACATGATCTGAAGCTGACCACCCCACAGCTCCATAGGCCTTCGCTCTGCCAGCTGCCCCACGAATTCCTTCGCTTAGCTCCACTCCGTGGCCCACAAGTAGCTCCCGCCATCCCACGAACTGCTCCACCAGCCTGTCCACAAGGCACTCCAGCCGTCCTGCAAACTGCTCCACACTACGTCTTCAGCCTCCCCCACTACTTAACACAACGCTCAGTGATTTCAGCTCTTAGTCAGTTCAGCTCTTTCGTGAATTCAGCTTGTAGTAGGGGAGCCTCAGTACTGGTGCACTGCTAGCCCAAAGTGAGCTCAGCGCCTGTAACTAGACTCCTAATGAAATCAAAATTAGCTCTGATATGCCACAGTGGAGAGAGGAGGAACTGCAATTAGCATGTAAGGCCCTCACCAAGGGGCCCATGCCACCAAGTATTAATACTTGTCCCCAGCCTCTCTCAATTAACAGAGTTTTGCAACCCATGACCCTTGCCTAGCGAGTGCCACTTAGTTGATGGTGAGTCCCTACATCATAACAAAAGGCCAAGTACAGTTCCAAGCACAATTTATTCTTCCTGCCCCAATAACAGAGACACTGGGGATCCCACAGCAGCCAAAGTGACCATTTGGGCAGCTATGGCTTCATTCTAGGCGGGGTGGGTGTGCCTATGCAAATGAGATCGGCCCCTGAAGTTTTTTTCCACAACTTGCCACACCTCACCACCAGATGTCAGGGTGGAGCTCATCCTGACACTGCTTACACATGCATAATTCCTAACTTCCTAAGGGATCGAGACCGAACTGCCCAGCAAGGGGGTGGGGGGAGATGATGAGATCTGCGCTATGCAGGGACGCATGCCACAAGTGGTCTTCTGTGCCACTCCTTGTTCCATCTGTGGTAGATTCGGCCACTCTTGCTTATGGTTTTCCCACACCAGGCCACTGTCCTCTGGCACAAGCACCTCTGGTGGTTGGATGGCTCTCTTCGTTTTCCTATCATCCTTCGAGACAGCCGCAGCCTGGTTGTCTGACTCCCCAAGGTGGGGAACTCATGTGGACCTGACGCCTGGGTCAGAGAAGGGGGCCAAAGCAAATCCTTCCCAGTCCCAGCAGATGAGAAGGCCGGAGTGCATAAGGTGCAAACCTCTCCTCCTGCACCTTCTGGCAGGGGAACAGAGTGGAAGGGACAGAACCTTGGTCTCCTCTTTAGACCTTTCTCCGCCATCCAGCGGTGTGGGGTGCACTGTGATAACTCCAGACAGGAGAAACACAGCCTCTTAAGCCCCCCGCCCCTTTTTAGGGTGACCAATATGTCCAAATTAGACCAAATATTATCCCACATTACTAATTAATGTTCTGCCTATCGCAGTAAATGCTGGATTCCACTACCCTGCCAGTAGCTACCAGAGGCAGAACAAAACCAAGGGAGTGTCTGGAAGGTGGGGGCTAGTCTTTCATCAGCCATCCAGACAGCTTTGATTCTGTCCCCTACAGCTACAGACAGGCAATGACCCACGCTGAGGACCTGTGGCTCTGACCCTGAGAGAGAATTTGAAAATAATTATTTTTTCCTGTTCATTGTAGCATTTGCCCTTTTGCAAATGTCAATTCCCCGTCTGCTGCCCCATCCCTGTATTTCCAAGGGAGCACAGAGTCCGTTTGGATGATGACTGTTTAGTTAACAACAACTCACATTGCTTTTAGGGCCTGATTTCTTTCAGAAGTGCTGAACCCCCACAATCCCTGGCTGAAGTCAGTGGCTCTCCTGTGAACCTCCGTCCTTTTTGCCTTTATGAGGCATGAAATATATTGTGTCTGCTCCTCATTGGAACAACATCCATTTGCACCACCTGAGGATCTGGCCTATTCTTTCTTTTGGCCCAGTCTCATCGATTAGTGCCCCACACAATTCTCTGTTTGCTAGCTCATTGCCCCTGCAGAAGAAGCACAAAACATGGGGCTATTGTAGGGTCCGCAGAACTGGTAATTTGTGTATATTGTTTAGCCTTGGCAGCAATGTGTTAGATCAGGGGTTCTCAAACTTCATTGCACTGTGACCCACCTCTGACAATAAAAATTACTGCAGGACCCCAGGAGGGGGGACCAAAGTCTGAGCCTGCCCCAGTCTCACCGCCCCATGGTGGGGGGGCCTGCAACCTGAGTCCCACGACCCATGGCCAAAGCTGAAGCCCTAGGGCATTGGCTTCAGCCACAGGCAGTTGGGCTCAGGCTTCAGCTTCAGCCCAGGCCCCAGCAAGTCTAAACCAGTCCTGGTGACCCTGTTAAAACAGCGTTGCGACCCACTTTAGGAACCGCTGTATTAGATTATAATACATTCTTGACAGGTCAGAAATTGAGTTTAAGGACTTGACATTGACTCTTTAAGGTATTTACCACCTACATTTTTGTATGTGTATTTCTGCTCTCAGGGCAATGTCTGCTGTGTGGCTACATGTTGGACAATGTGGCAATCAGATTGGCGAGGAGTGGTGGCAGATCCTAACCAGTGAGAAGGTGCCGCATGCAGAGACTGACAGGTATGGTAACTCTGCAGTTCCAAGGAGGAAACCAGTTTTAAGCTACTCATGAGCCTACGCCTGCTAGTACTTGGAGTCAAATGAGTTAATTGATCCATCCCTGCTCTTAACAGAGGGTAATCTTAGGAGTTCTGCACTCTCTGTGCAACTGGCAGTCCTATCACAAGGCCGCATGCACCCTTGCGGAGTGCTCCTAGCTTTATATTTCTGATAACAGTAAGATCATTGTTCTAGTTCACTTTCCACAGACCATTTTAAATACCAGAATGCTGCAAGGTGGGGCAGAGGGATTAATGCTGTTGATCAAAACCTTCCCTTGCTCGCCTCCGATCAAAGGCAGGTATTCCCCCTGCCAGCATGTTTGAGCCAAAGGAAGGGTATGTAAAACTCTGGGTTTAGAGTCCAAATTCCAATATAAATATGAACAAATGTAACTGTTTCTACCCTTTGATGGAAGTTCCCCTGGAACTGCTCTAAGTACTCCTGGGAGAATTCTGCGCCACTGCGCATGTGCAGAATTTATGTCACCCGCAGAATTCTTTGCTTCCCCACAGAAAAATGACTTTCTGATGGGGAAGCAAAGGGGAGCCACAAGAGCGGTCATGCAGACCTCCCCAGCAGTATGTTTTGGGTGCCCAGGGAAGCTGGCAGAGAGGTAAATCACGGTGGGGCAGGGGGCGGGACTGGGAAAGACCCAGCTGGTGGCTCCTACCCCACGCCAGGCTCAGCTGCTAGTCCCAGCTGGGCTGGGGAGGATAGGACTTCCTCTTCCCCTGCACGGCATCCAGGGCCAGGTCAGACCCACCCCCAGATTTCTCCCCAAGCTGCAGGAAGCTCTGCAAACTCCTCCCCCGACCCAGTTTCCTACACCCATCACTCCTCAGCTGCAGCGGGAGGTATCCCTGTACAGGGAGTTGTACCCCCATCCATCCAGGCCTGCTCCCTGCTCCCAAAGAGCTCGCTGTCTGAGAAATATAGAATATAAAACCTATTGCCTAGTGGGCAGCTATGGAATAACCTACACTAAGTTACTCTGCTTTTCCTGGCAGTTGCTCTTGATGACGGGATGTCACGGCTGGGCCGTCTGACCTAGGGGGTGGAGCAGCAGTTGGGAGCCAGCAGGCAGGCTGGGTCTGGATACCAGGAGATCAGAGTCTGAGATGGGCCAGAGGGCATGCTGGGAGTGAGGGTCAGGGAACCAGGAAGTCAGAGTCAGGCAGCAGGAACCGGTAGTGCAGGGCAGGCAGTCCGTCCTCAGCAGGGAAAACCCAGTTACACAGACAACTTCCTGTTTCTCTGCTTGGTTAAATAGAAGCAGGGGACCAATCAGGACCCGCAGGGTTTTACCAGTCAGAGCCCAGCCTGGGAGTCCTCTGCCAAAGTTGAGCTTCAAGTTGTGGCAACTCCTAGCAGATCACGGGGTGGTAGGTTGGAACGTACTGGCTTCTAAGAGCCCTGTAGCTGGGGGTTTGAGACCTGCAGCCCCTGCTGCTGGAGTTACTGGTACAATTAGGATATCGAGCAAGTGAAACCTGACTGGGCGAGGGAAGTTTTGGCAGGACTACTGAGATTGCGGGGAAGGTCGCAGGTGTAAGACGCTGGCCTGGCATTTAGTGGAGCTGGGTTCAGTTCCCCCATCTCCTACGAACTGCTTGGGTGGCCTTGGGCAAGACACGTCATCTCAATCACGCCACCTTTCCCCATCCCTTGGTCCTGCCTCTTTAGCTTTCAAGCAGGGGCTGTCTCTGGCTGTGTCTGTTCAGTGCCTAGCACAGCGAGGCCCCAATTTTGGCTAGACCCTGTAAGCACGCCGCTCATACAAGTGAATGGGGCTTCGCTCCCACGGCCACCTGATGTGCCTCCGGAACGAGCTGTGAGGACTTGCTCGGTCCTGGCCCAGGCAGAAGTCCCACTAACTTCCGTGGGATTCCTGCCTAAGGGCTTGTGGCAGAGACCCCGAACTCCAAAGGGACCATGACTCCATTTTATGTCTGTCTAGGCACGTTGACGGCGTCCTCCTGTTCCAGAACGATGCCGTGCTGAGGAGGACAGCAGCTCTCCTTGCAAGGAAAGAGCCAGTGTCTGACATGCAGCCCCAGGTCTCCCTCTCCGCCATGAACACCTACGTTGCTTCCTGCCTTGCTGGGCTGCTTTACCTTCTCAAGGCTTTCACCACAGGAAGGTGAACCGAGCACAGATATTTGTCTTCTTTCCAACCCCTGTTGGTGCTCTGCAGATGACGCTAGATGTACTGCAGTCCTCAGCTGGTAGAAATTGGCATAACTCTATCAGTTACAAGCAAACTATGCCAGTAGTCACCATCTGAGGATCTGGCCCATGAAATCTAGTCCGTAGAAAGCTTTAGGCAAATCCTTTGGCATGGAGGCAAAAACTGCTAAGTGCAGTCAAAATATTCCCAGTGTGGGAACGGAGGGACCAAGGGAGCAGAGATAAATGAACATCGAAAGCAACAGCAGCATGCATGAGTCCTGAACATCCAAAGACCTTATTATTAAACTCAGCCATAGCTAACTGGATATTACAGAATAACTAGCCTGCAACACTCTCCCTGGAAACCAAGAAGCCAGCAGAGGCTAGCAAGGTTGTCCGTGTCTGAGTGGGGCAAGAAAGAGGTTCTGAGAGATAAGGCTGCACTACTCAGTAGCTGCTTAAGTATCTCCGTGGTGGTGGTAGATGACTGTACGTCTCTCCCTTGCTTTTCAGTGGGATCAGCATGGGGACGGAACCCTGGGAGCTGCTGAGGTCTGTCTGCCCCATGCCGACTATGAAATTCCTTCACATTCCTCAAGCCTGCAAGAGGTAGGACTGGGGCCTGTCCCACCACTTGAACAGAGATTCTTAGCCTCTCAGATGAGTCTCATATTCTCACTCTACTTGTCCAGGTCAGTTGGTAGCCCAGCAGCTAGTTTAAGAGACCAATACAAGACTCCTGTGGAGTCTTAAAATGTGGCCTACCATCAGGTTTAAGTATAGACGCCCGCACAGTGGGTTTAAGCAGAGCCCGTGATGCTCTGAAACTCCTGTGACTGGCCAGGGGCAGCTTGTGATGGGCCATTTGCAGGAGGGAGATTGTAAGTGGCTCGTTGACTAACACACTGCACAGTCCTCCAGAAGATGAAAAGTTCATGTTGCTGCTGCCCCCAGAGGCCGTCTCCATTTTATCACAAGTCTTGCGATAGCTGGTGTTTCTCTTAAAGCCCCCCCGCGCTCCCGCTGGAAACATGTAGTTGTATGAGACTCTCCGTTTTCGGCTTGGAAATGGTAAATTTCTAGACCTCATCGTTCTGGAGAAAAGTCTGGAAATATGACCCGAATGGGCTCAGAAAGAGCAGGCAAAGAAAAAGCCAACATTGATTATTTGTGTAGCTTTAAATTCATGAGATTAAAAATAACTCAGGATTTTTTCTCCAGGAGCTTGATGGCTTCTCTTCACGTACAGCGGGGCAGCATAATAAAACCACCTCTGCGAGAGGCAGTAGCTATGGCAAGGGGAGAGCTTTTGAGTACTGTCCACACCAGCGCTTATGTCGCTGTAACTTGTGTTGCCCGGGGGGCGGCGGGTATTCACACCCCTGAGCTATGTAAGTTCTGCCGCCATACGCTGTAGTGTAGGCATAGTCTGACTCCCCACTCACTTGGGGCTGGCGAGACTGCAGATGCACCGCTGCCCTGCTAATACAGCCTGGCAGAAAATGCCTTTCACCAGTCAGGGAATGAAAGCGGCAATGATTTGACCCTGACCCTCCCTCACCCTGTCGTTGTCAATGACGTGTGGGGGTCTGCTTGTTGTCCCCATGTCATTTTAGTGAGGTCAAAGCTGAGTGGGGTCCCATTTAATTTCTAATGGGCTTGGGCCACTTTTATCTCCCCTTTGTTTGGAAATTAAATGCAAAAACTAAAGTTCTTCTTCGCGTGATTACACAGGTGCATTCCACCCTTGGTGTCTGCACACCCAGCACACGGCCATTGGAAACGTTTCCGCCTCCGTGGTACCTGTTGGGTGGCTTGCTTGACTGTGCGAGAGGGGACTGAGACCCATCCAATGCGGGAGCGTTCCCATTGCTGCACTCCCTGATGCTTTGGTGTTACCGTAACATTGCACTGATGCAGCTGTTTGTGCTTTTTTCCTTGGACTTACCTTAGTCAAACTAAGCCCAGGCTCTGCCCCCTAGTTTTTAGTGAAACAGACATGTTAGTTTTCGCCGTAGCTCCTGGTGAATTTGGTTTGTTTCTCATTTCCCAGGGGGACAGTATTTTGGGACAGCCTGGCATTGTCCGTTGTGCATTCATTGCCGCGTGCGTCTCACGCAGGACGGCCCGTATCCTTTCTCCACAAGCGCTGCGTCTTCCAAATGTGCCTGAACTGGGGACTCGGGTGGAGGAAGGGGAGAGAACATCAACCAGATAGACAAGTTCCCCTTTACCTGCCTCTGACTTGAGCCAAAGGGCCCTTGGAAAGCCCTGTAGGAGTGTTCTATGCACCTTGGCTGGGGCCGGGAGAAAAGAGAAAGCGAAACCAGTTGTCTTCTAGTTTATTCCTTGCAAACTTCAAGCTGAGATTCAGGGTCATCAAGATTACACATTCCAAAACTTCCCAGCTAACTACAGGGACGTCCCCTACCTACCTCTGTTCATCTGCCTTGAAATACATTTGGAAACGTCTAGATTTAAATGCAGTCCAGGATGGGACCTCTGGGCACCCAGAAGTTTGCCTGTGGGACTGGTCTCTTTAAAAATCTGATCTGCTGAGAAGATAGAGGTGTGAGCTTGTCCCTCCCATGCCTATTGTCTGTATTATGGGTACCAGCTAGAGCAGTGGTTCTCAAACTGTGTCGGGACCCCAAAGTGCATCGCGACCCCATTTTAATGGGGTCACCAAGGGCTGGTATTAGCCTTGCTGGGCCCCAGGGACGAAGCCCGAGCCCCACTGCCTGGGGCCAAAGCCCAGGGCTTCAGCCCTGAGTGTGTGGGGGGCTCAGGTTACAGCCCCCCCCACCTAGGGCTGAACTCCTTGGGATTCGGTATTGGCCCCCCTGCCAAGAGCAGTGGGGCTCTGGCTTTGACCCTGGCCCCCCTGCCTGAGGCTCAAGTTTTGGTCCCCCCTCATGGTGTCATGTAGCAATTTTTGTTGTCAGAAGGGGGTCTTGGTGCAATGAAGTTTGAGAACCCCTAAGCTAGAGGGCTCCAGCCAAGGGGACCTGTTGTGCCAGGCGCTGTACAGACACCTAGCAGGTCCTGAGAAGCTGAGAGTCTAGCCGGTCAAGCCGGATGGAAAGGAGTATTATTGTCCCCATCGTACAGGTGGTGATATGGACACAGCCTTCACCCCGTGCCACTGGAGAGGGATCCTCTAAAGCCTTTATAAAACCTTAAAGGTCCCCCACTATTCTTCCCTCTGTTATAACTTCCGTGCCACCACCTCCTTCAAGGCCTCAGGTCCCTGCTGTCACCTGTCCATCAGCAGGGCGTGAGCAGGAAGCCCTGGCCCATGCTTTGGAGTTTGCAGTTCTGTTCCTCACTAAGCCCACGTGTCAGGGTCACTGCAGTGGTGTGAGCTACTCCCTCGCCTCCTCTGCCACTTGCCAACCTCTGCTGGCCCAAGGAGAGGAGATGGGGTACATTCACCGACCTGCCTTGCAGCTTTTACACAGTGTCCCAGAGAGAGGTCCATCTGTCAGGGAAGGGTGATGGAGTGCTGCATGATGCAGGGGTTGGATCTATTCAGGCTGTCTGGGATATTTACTGCAGTAACGTCTAGGCCCCAAGCACAGCCACTTAGACAGGAGTTGAAATCTGACCCCCACGGAGTTCCTGAACTAGATTTGAGAAGAATACGTCCTAGCTTTGATACAGCACTGTTCATCCATCCATCTCAAGCCCTTAACAAGGGAGGCCAGTATCATCATCCCCATTATATAGCGGGGGAAACTGAGGCACAGAAATGGGAAAGTGACTTGCCCAATGTCACCAGCAGAGCCAGGAATAGAACCCTGGTCTCCTGAGTCCTAGTCCACTGCTCTAGCCAGTAGGCCATGAGTCCATTGACTTCCCTGCCCTATACAACTAGATTTGTGATCGAAATGTCCAGCAGATTCAAATCCCAGCCTTGGCAACTCTAGGGTGGGAAACGTTCAAGCCGGGAAAGGAGAATTCTTCCCCACTGGCTGGGGGAAAGCTCTGAAGGTCATTCCTGGATCTGCTTTGCCCTTTGTTCTTAGCTTGCCTTGTTTGCAGCATTATAGCACCTCTGTGCTCGCTGTAGCCCACAGCTACCAAGAGGACACCTTTCTTCTGTCCCGTGACTCGGTGCTGAGGAAGTTGAAGCAAGCCTACCGCTGTGTTCCTTGGAATCCCTTCCCTCTCAGCTGCTGGACAGGTCAGTCTCGCTGGGCCCTCTTCTGTGCATATTGCTGCTGGGGATATGGGACAGGCTGACAAATGCAGCCAGTCTGCAAAGGTCAGACCAGAGTGTGTCACATTCCTTGTGCTCAAGAGAGGTTTCCTTTGCTTTGGAGAAAAGGTCACAGGCTGGGGAAGCGTCTGAAAACCTGCATAGACATCACCAAGTCCACTGAACTCACTGCTGGTCTTGTCTAAGCACTTGCATCTCACCCACCGCCATAGCATCTGAGCCCCTCAGAAACTCACTTTCATTTATCCTGACAGATGCATAACGAAGGACCGTTCTTCTCCATTTTACAGAAAGGGAAGGGAGCCCCAGAGAGATTAAGGGACTTGCCCAAGGTCTGACAGGAAGTCTGTGGCAGAGCCAGAAACGGGGCCCAGGTCTCCTGATTCCCAGGCCTTAACCCCAAGACCATCCTTTCTATTGGTACATGAGGAACCAATTCAAGCCTGGTGGAAGCAGCAGCATTGACTTCAGTGGAGCTGCCTCCACGTACCCCAGGACTGAATTCAGCTCGAGGTCATTGTGGGTTTGTCTGCACAGCAACTAGACACCTGCGGCTGGCCCACTGCGGTGGAGACATACCCTGAGAATCTCTACTGTGCCCAGCCTAGCTGGGTGGAAGGTTGGGGGGGCTTTGTTGGAAGGCAGAATGTAAATGAGCCAAGCTGGAGTTAACATCCCTACTCGTTCTAAGGGAGGCAGGGGCTATTTGATCCTTGAGGGTTGGCCAGTGTCCAAGTGGCTAGAAGCCAGCCCGGGGAAGCAGGTTTCAGCAGGGGCTCAGACGAAGGGCAGTGGGAGGATGCTGGCAGTGAGGGGAAGGGTCCCTGCAGGTGGAAGGGTGGAGGTGAGGGATAGAGATGTGGGAGAGCTCTGATTTGGTGGGGAGGGAGGGGGCAGCGAGTGAGATGGGGTGGGCAATATAGGGTCGGAGCGAGCTGAGGCAGGAAGGAGAAGCGGAATATCGCTTCGTCTACACTACGGCGTTAGGTCGATACAAGGCAGCTTACATCAACCTAACTCTGTAAGCGTCTACACTCAAATGTCACTCCCGCCGCCGTAACTCGCCCACTACGCTGACTTAACTCCACCTCTGCAAGAGGTGTAGCGCTTTGGTCATTGTAGTTAGGTTGACACAGTGTCACTTTAGATCAGTGGTCTCCAACCTTTTTACGTCCAATTTCACTTTTTGAATTTAAGATCTAGGGCGCCCCTTCCCCAAAGCCCCGCCCCGCTCACTCCACCCCCTCCTCTCTCCCTCGCTTGCTCTCCCGCATCCTCACTCACTTTCACTGGGCTGGGGCAGGGGGTTGGGGTTCAGTAGGGGAATTGGGGTGCTGGCTCCAGGGGGGGGCTCAGGGCTGGGGTGCAGCCTCACGCTGGGCAGCACTTACCTCGATGGGCAGCTCAGCAAGGCTAAGACAGGCTCCCTGTATGCCGCGACCCCATGCCACTCCTGGAAGGGGCCAACATGGGGGGTTGGGGGCACATGCGCCGCGCGCTGCCCCTCTCTGCGGGCACTGCCCCCAAAGCTCCCATTGGCCACAGTTCCCCATTCCCGGCCAATGGGAGCTGCGGGGGTGGTGCCTGCCCGCCACTGCTCTAGATATGGTGTTGCTTACCATCCCGTTGCGGCTTTTCAGAAGCCGTCCTGCAGTGCCCCACGCTGACCGTCAAATTGGAGCAAGTCTCCTGGGGAGGATGTGCCCCGGGCCGACACAAGGAGCGTAGAGTGGACATGCAAAAGCGATTTCATTACTGCAGGTGGTCGTACAGAAACATAACTTCAGTCAACTTCATTTTGTAGTGCAGACTTGCCCTCAGATTCCTTGGGAGTCTCTCAGTGTAGTTCACGGCCACTCAATCCATGCATCCTTGGGGCTTGAAGAGTTAATAGCCATGAGTGGCTCAGGCCTTTGTTTTATGGCTCAGCAGGAAGGGATCTCTAGCTGCCTGGTGCCCCCAGCACTGTGCTGAAGCACTGATCATGACTGACCCAGAGAGCAGTGTCACCAGCACCTCCCCTCCAACTCTTCCCGCTGACGCCAGAGCTGGGGGGAAGCTGGGCTCTCTAGTTCATTCTGTAGCTTCCCCAAGAACGTGGGGACTCCAGATCCTTGGTCCATTCCATAGTGAGGTGCTCGGGAGAGGCTGACAGAACTAGTTGGTGCTGCTGGCTTTGTGGGAGCTTTTGTCCCATAACTGTAAGGCAGCCCAGGCCTGGCCGCAGCACCCTCGCAGTCCAGTCCAGGGACCCTGCTGAGTGGAGACACCAGGAGCACTGTCAAGTCACCCACATTTGGAGGGAGGTGACCTCAAATTCATTGGCTCACCCTCAAACCTCCTCATTTAGAACTTGCATAAGCCCCTCGCACCCAAATGATGCAGTTGTGAGAGGGATTGGAAGGGAGAAATGAAGGAGAGAGGGGACAGTGGGAAGAGATTGGGGCAAAATGGGAAAGGAGGGAGAAAAGGCAGCAAAACTGAAAGCAAAAACAGGTAGGAGCTGCAGTGACCCTTATGGAGGAAGGCTCCTTCCTTCTGACTCAGCTGTTTGCCTGCCAAAAACTGATGGACAAAGGCAGACCCAGCAGCAGGGACTACAGCTGCAGAAACCTCTGAATCCGTGTATTCATTATTAGTAGTGTTACCGTAGCCTCTGGTTTCGGACCAGGAGCCCACTGTGCTAGGGGCTGTACAAACACAGACCAACCCTCAGTGTGATGCTGGGAAGAGCCAGCAGGGAAATGCACACTTTTTACATAGAAGTAGGGTCATTAGGCTTTTATTTGTAATTTTTCATATAGACACAAAAAGCAGTAACTCCAGGTTAAGGGAGAGAACGGAAAGCTGCACACACCTTTGCCTTGTTACGTTAGCCAAGCATGTGAAACAGGCCCAGCACAATCAATTCCCCGGTCAATACACTTCTTGAGGCCCTTGTCCAATAGCGACTGAGGAGCAGTGAGTAGAGGCTAAAACCACTGGTGTGTTCATGCTGAGTTTCCTCTTGGACTGTCCTCGACTCTGAGATGGTGCTAGGGGCCAGTGAGGATCTCCCCTGCTTTACACACGTTAATGAAGCATCACACCACTCCAAAGACGGAAGTATGATCTCCCCTTTAATGAGAGGGAGGTAGAGGAGTGGCTCGTACCCGGTCACGTGGTGGCTCTTTACTTCAGGGGTGCGGGATAAGGCCTTGTAAGATTTCACATGTGCGTATTATTGGAAATGAGGCTCTTGTATAATTCCGCTCTGCACTTTGCAGCAAGACCAGCGTTATGAAGAGTTCTCACCTGCACAGTGGTAGACCAGAACTGTAGTTAGGTAGGCTAGGTGTTTAGAACGCAGAGGGCTTTCCCCCTCCGGGAATGAGGGAGGTGCCATATGCCCCTTTTAACCCTTTCCGGGTGGGAGAAGATCTCTCGGGAACACGTAGCTTGTGAAGGGTTAATACGTCCGGGTGAAGAGATGACTTTCCGTCCCACAGCCTCTCTCAACATCGTGGAGCCTGGATGTCAGAGTCACTCGCTGACTGTCTGCGCCAACCACAGCAGCTCAGCGGAACTCCTGCAGCAGGTGGTGGCCAGAGCAGAGGCAATGTACAAGACCAACGCCTGCCTCCACTGGTACTGGCGATATGGCTGCGAGGAGGAGGATTTCCAGCAGGCCTTCGAGACGCTCTGCTCTGTGGCAGACGATTACAGCCGGCTGGGAGAATAACGCTGTCTGCTTTGGCACTTCCAGGCTGCTGGCTGTCAGCCTTCCTCCTGAGAGCCCGGAGAACCTCCAGGAAAGATCGTGCCAAGGTCTCTGGGAAAGGGGTGGTTCTGCGTTGAGGGGGATGCTGCTGTAAATCAATACTGTGACACATAACACTAGACAAATAGAATCGCCTCTCAGCCGGTGGGGTGTGAGTGTGTGCGAAACAGACTGTGGGCTCGACTGCCTCTTGGTCCGTGGGCCCATGCAGGGGTGGTATGGAGAGCAAGAGCCCCTTCGTGCCCCCGCACAGGCTATCCAGACATTGCATAGAGGTATAAGGGGGTGAACCAACCCCACCCAATGTGTGATGGCAGGGGAAGGGCTCCCCCCCAGCACAGGGCCAGCCAGCACAGCTGAGCCAGCATTGCAGGGGTAGTCATTTACTGTTGGTTTGGATTAGCAGCAAGTTGGTATGCCCCTGGAGCAAAGGGGAGTCATAGAGGAATCATGCCTTTGCTTCTGGAGGACAGAGGGCATGTGGCAAGGCCACCAAGAAAGCCTATAAACATACCACCTGGACACGCCAGTGGTTTGAGCATTGGCGCGCTAAACCCAGGGTTGCAAGTTCAATCCTTGAGGGGGCCATTTAGGGATCTGGGGCAAAAATTGGGGATTGGTCCTGCTTTGAGCAGGGGGTTGGACTAGATGACCTCCTGAGGTCCCTTCCAACTCGGATATTCTATGTGCACACCTATGTGCCTTGCCTCGGAAGATCTCACTCACTTTGGGATGGTGACACAAGGCTCTGAGAGATCTAGGGTGTGGGTCCTTCTCCTTAGCTTCGAGCTAAAGCCAAATCCTAGCACCTTCCATAGAGGGGGAGCCACCCTCCATGACGAAGGGGAACAGGTTTTGGTCCCTAATCTGGTCCCTGGGAAACCAGAGAGGAAGCTGAAGCTACGAACAGACAGGGTTACAAAGCAGAGGGATTGAGCAGGTAATTAGAGGGCTGAACAAAACCCGAGCAGATTTATTCAGGGAGAAGACTACACACTAGTAAAGACCTGACTCATCTCCACTTGTACAGACAGGCAGGAGACGCAGTTACAACGTGCTTGCAATTTGGCCTGTAGACAGGACCTCAGATGTTCCTTAACCAGGCTAAAGGCTTGGACACATTGCATAGGCAATGTCTGGGGACAGGAAGGGCAAACCCCACCCTTCCATTGGGGCATCTGACAGAGCGCCTCCTGCAGGTTTTACAAGGACCCTGTTATTTGATGTTGTGAAGTTCTAGACTATAACAGAATTCAAAAAAGAACTGGATAAGTTCATGGAGGAGAGGTCCATCAATGGCTATTCGCCAGGGTGGGCAGGGATGGTGTCCCTAGCCTCTGTTTGCCAGAAGCTGGGAATGGGCGACAGGGGATGGATCCCTTGATGATGACCAGTCCTGTTCATTCCCTCTGGGGCACCGGGCACTGGCCACTGTCGGAAGACAGGATACTGGGCTAGATGGACCCTTGGTCTGACCCAGTCTGGCTGTTATGTATTTAGCACTAAGCTGAAAGTAGGCTCCAGAACTAGCTCTAGAACCAGCTGTACCAAGAAGCAATTGTGCACAAGGTGAAAAGATGGTTGTTTAAAACCCTGGCCCAACATGATACCTGACCAGCTGCCTAGTACTGGCTGAAGGTGCCCCAGCATCACTAGGTTGTTAGGTTTTGTCTCTTTCTATTCCCTTAATAGTGTGCCCTCAAGAGGAAGGGGGTCCTCATAGGACCACCTGTGGCTGCCTTCTTCCGTTCTTGGACAAGAATTCTCCATTGGCTGGATCGAGGGCTTTTAGGGTGTCTGCACTGTACACTAAGCCCGGGCTCTGACTCAGGTTTGAGCTCAAGCCCCACTTCCCCGCCCCCCCAATCAGTCTGACTCGGGTCAGCAGGCACTCGGCTCCTAGGCCCCTGCTAGCAGAGCCCGCGTGCTGCTGTGACTTGGGTCCCAGCCCTGTCATTATGCAGCGTGGACACAGCTCAAGCCGCAGACCTGAGTCAGAAGGCCTGCGTAGCGCAGTATGGACGCGTCAGCACGTCTGGGAGACCCGGTCCAGTAACCGTAAACACAGGCTTGCAATGCAGCGTGGCTACTCAAGCACAGGCTTGGAAACACCAGGTCCATAAGCCTAGGTCCCACAGACCCGGGCTTAATGTGCAGTGTAGACAGATGCTGAGAGCCCCTATGTGCCATTCTGGCCACTTTATCTGGCATCAAGGGGCTGGAGTGGCGGGTAAGATTCTGATGTTTCAGAAGCTGTGAATTCTCTGGGTCCGCCGAAGGAGGCCACCCCACCAGGGGCCTGGCCTGGACACTCCTGGTATTTCTAACGGTAAAACATACGAGAAAGAGAACCACCCTTCAGGTCTTTTCACCTGTCGCGAAGAGGCACAAGCTCGGTTTTCTTTCCTCTGCAGCTCACCAGTAACATGCACACACCTGCCCTGCCAAGGCGTTGCACTTTTCAGAGTCAGGGAAACAAGTTCTCCTGGTTCAATTAACGAACGTGTATTTTATCTTCCTCTCTGGGCGCTGACGACTCTACTGTAGCCAGCACTAACCTTCATTCTAGCCAGCCAAAGCCATTTGTCACGAGCCCAGCTTTATTTTTTGGTAAGTCTCTCGTGGAAATCAATGCTGACCCGTTTTCTGAGGACAGTTTGGTTCATTTCCTTGTATAGAACACAACGCAAATGGCTCTGTCCTGCACCTGCTATATGACATGGAGCACCGCTGGGGGTTTGTTCTTCACCGTAGCTGTGATGAGTCCAGGTTTCTTGTGCATTTGCTGGAGGGCGGCCATGGCTCTAAAGTACTTGTGCTGATAATAGAAAACAAGATCTAGTTATTAAAATGGCACCAGGTCTTCAGGCCTATAGTTTAGATGCAGAGATGGTTATCGGAGCCGGCACAACGTTACTTTCACCCGTGTCACGCTTATTTGGAAAAGTTGTCCTCATTGGGAACATGGGAACTGCCAGAGCCCCTCCTAGTCCAGTAACCCATCTCCAACACAGGCCCGTCCCACCTGATTCCAAAGAAGGGGCAAAAAACCCACTAGTGGGCAGTTATAGGATAACCTGTCCCCAGGGTCAGTTTTCTCCTTACCCCCATCAGCTGAAGGTTGGTTTGGGGGTGTTTGGTTTAGAATCCTTACTACTGTAAGCCTGGATGTGGCCATTACTGTAACATGGTGACCACCACCCAAGTAGCCCTTGGGGCCAGGGGTGCCTCTGCCGTGCTCTGCCCCAGTTTCCCCTTCTCCAGGGCTCCTTAAACAAACTCCACACAGCCTCTCAGCCAATCACAGCCCTTCTTGGGGTTTGGTTTCTTTATTAACACAAAGTTGTAAAACGCAACCACAAAAACAAATCTTCCACCCCCACCTTAAGCTGGGCACGGCCCCTCCTCCCCGAGGTACTGCCCCTTCCTGCTGCCTGAGCAGATGCAGGGCTGGGCTTGTCTTCTTTGCCTTCTCCCAAAGGTTATTTTGCCTGACCCCAACTCCCTGCATGAGACCCTCTCTTCCTGCAGCTTCACTCTGCAATTCCCTTTCTAGCTGTGCCCTCACTGAACTCCCTCTAGTCCTTTATAGCCCCCTCGCTCCTGCCTCCTGCTTTTGGCTAGCCGGGAGCACATGCTCTGGCACAAGGGAGCTGTACCTGTTCCAGACACGGGGTGACCAGCCACCCTATGACAATTACCCATATAGATACAGTCCTTTTTTGAATCTTGCTAAGCTCTTGGCCTCAGTGATATCTTGTGACAATCAGTTCCACAGGCTAATTGTGCCTTGTGTAAGCACCTAGTATTGTGCGCGTTTGCTACAATATTAAGCAAGTGGATCTGGTTGCAGAGCCCAGGTTCTCTGTCCCCACTGCCTTAGCTGCCCTGGTGAGAACGCTCTGTGATTGACTGTAGGATATGCCCCACCTGATTACGCCAGGCATCATGTTTTCACCAGGTTTCCTAGTTGCTCCCCAGCACAGAGCTGAATATACAGAATTTCCCCGCTGAGCCAGAGAGCAGCTACATCCTGAGTTCCTTCCCAAGCTTTGTTAAAAGTCACAGCAAGAATCAACGTCCACAGTAACTTGCTGAGAGCATCCTACTGCCTGGCGCTCCCAGCCCCTGCCAAGCATGGGAGGGGAAGTCCTGAGTGTCTCTTTATTATGAGACTGCCCCATAGCAGTGCCAGAGCACTACAAACCACGCCACGGTGGCCGGATCCTCAGCTGGGGTAAATCAGTGTAGCGCCACTCTTGTCACAGCCATTGACACTGGCTGAGGCTCTGGCCCTTAGAGTCTTTAGCTGAGGTGATGGGAAGAAATTCAGAGTTCATCCTGTAGCATGCGACCACCAAGCGCCAGCCCCGGGGTGGGAGAGGGAGCGGTGAGCGGGGCTGCAAACAGCTCCTTGTGCTGTATAACTGAACAGGGGCTGTTTCAGAGGGTATTGCCGATGCCCCATGCTGCGCACAGGGGGCGTTTACCCCCAACAGAAAATCCTGGCACAGGTTTGCACTACCAGCAGGCGCTGACAAACCCGCTTGCGGCCCGGCACCGACTCACGCTACCTTCTGATCAGTCTTCATTTTGGCATTGTAGAATGAGGTGGAATCTGGACAGGCTGGCAGGACTTCCCCCTGCAGCCGGTCAAACCGCTCCTGCTCATCTTCATCCTGGGAGGAAGAGAAGGCGAGAACCCAGCTGTCACAGGGTGACTGGCCCCTTGGAGGGGGATTAGGGCCAGCCCCACCTGTGCAGCAATTAACTGCATCCCAGCCTGAGGGTGGGACTAAGGGGCCAGGTGTTAGCAGGGCCTAGAGATCTGTGGTGGAGGTCTCTGTGGTGAACACCTGGGCCCCAGAACGAAAAGGCTCAAGGAACCACAGTCAGAGACCCTGTGATCGGAACCCCAGGGAGCAGCTTAGGGTCCTGTGGAAAGCCCTGAGATAGGGGTTGAGAGAATCAGGGAGGTCCCTGGGAGAAGGGGAGGGGAAACCTGCTAAGAAGCAGAGCCTCCAGGGAGAAAGCCCAGAGAGGCCGTGCTCTGTCTCAAGAGCAGAGAAGAAGCGGTGCAGGGCCTGCGAGTAGGGGTGTAGAGCAAGGAAATGAAACATAACCCAACAGGGGCAGAAGATTC